TTGTCTGTGGGGGAGTGCTGTTTTCCAGAGGATTGAAGGATCAGGTGAGTATAACCTCCTCAGTCCTCAGTCCTATGCAAAACAAGCCATTGACTCGTGCAGTGCGAGCGACTGCATGGGAAAACTTTTTTTTGTGTGTTTTCCCGGAATTGGGGTTTAGGATTGGCCTCTATGGTTGCTAGCACACTGGCTGAAGAAAACAGTCTGGAGCTACAGGCAGGCACCTAGATAGGTGAAGATGGAGCATTGTCAGTTATTTCCTATGGACTTGGCACAGGCCTTACCCTCCTATCTTCAACTCAACATCCAAACTAAAGCCTTTGTCTGATTGTCTTCTGGGGGATCAGGTGGGAATGTATTATTTTTTTGCCTTTCTTTGGATTATCTGTAGGTTTAAGATTTTATTATTTTTACTACAGGTACTTTTATAGCCCTGTCAATATACACAGTGATTGATATATATATATATATATATATATATATATAAATAACATTCACATCAGTCCCTAACTCTTACCCCTGGTTCACATGTATGCGTCCGTTGAATGGACTCCCGTGCCCCGTGACATGCAGGAAAGAAGTCTCTGCACTCGGTTCCCAGTACAGCTGCGTTTTCCAGTGCGGGCTGAGTGTCGGGTTTTTCTTCATGCAATCACTGCCAGCAGCTATAGCCTCCAGCAGTGAGCATTGCATTCTGATGGAAGGGAAAGCTTGCGCTATCAGAATACAATAGTGTAGCGGGAGGTATTCCCCCATCAACACTGACTGTCAATTGTCAATTTTTTTTTGAGTGACCATGGGTTGAAGGAAAGAAAATTGCATTATCTATGACTTGCTTAACCCTAGGCTCACATCTATGCGGCCGTGCAGGCCGCGTTTTGGTGCGTGCACGAGAGCCCATTCATTTAAATGGACTCCCGTGCCCCGTGACACGCAGGAAAGAAGTCCCTGCACTTCTTCTGAAAACGCAGCCCGCACTGGAACCTCGGTTCCCAGTACGGCTGCGTTTTCCAGTGCGGGCCGGGTGTCGGGTTTTTCTTCATGCGATCACTGCCAGCAGCTATAGCCTCCAGCAGTGATCACTGCATTCTGATGGAGGGGAAAGCTTGCGCTGTCAGAATACAATAGTGTAGCGGGAGGTATTCCCCCCCATCAACACTGACTGTCAATTGTCAATTTTTTTTTTGAGTGACCATGGGTTGAAGGAAAGAAAATTGCATTATCTATGACTTGCTTAACCCCCAGTTCACATCTATGTGGCTGTGCGGGCCGCATTTTGCGCGAGCACAAGAGCCCATTCATTTGAATGGACTCCCGTGCCCCGTGACACGCAGGGAAGAAATCCCTGCACTTCTTCTGAAAACGCAGCCCGCACAGGAACCTCGGTTCCAGTACGGTTGTGTTTTCCTGTGTGGGTGGCGTGCCATTCCTCTGTGCGGGTGGTGCGGCTGCACGGATTTTTTAATGCGGATCCGCAGCGCCACCACCCGCACAGATGTGAACCTAGCCTTAAGGAGCTTACAATCTAAGGTCCCCAACTCCTCATATTCATACACACTATGACCAGTTTAGACAAGAGCCAGTTACCTACCAGCAAGTCTTTGGAAGGTTGGAGGAAACCGGAGTACCCAGAAGAAACCCACGGGGAGAACGTGCAAATGCCAGGCAGGTAGGGCCATGGTTGAGATTCTAACCAACGACCTTAGTGCTGCCAGGTAGAAGCGCTAACCACTTAGCACTGTGCTGCCTCAATATGTAAATATGTGACTTGAATGGGCCTAAATAAATCTATAACTGCATGGATCTATATTCAGTCTGGTGAAAAGCGCTTCTTTACGGCTGCAACCACAATGTGGTCAGCTGCAGGATGGTTATAGATTTATTTGGGTCCATCCATGACCTTTTCTGAGCCCTGATGAAAGGTTGTAGCCCCCAAAAACATGTTGGCTTTTTTTTTTTTTTTTTTTATGGTTGAAGTGTGAACTGTTAGAATTTTTCTTGGTCTCTTTGATTTTATGGTCTCCTGTACATTTGTGTTTGATTATGTTTTGATTCCCATTGGAGGTTGGGAGGCTCACTGAGTCAATTAGCTTCTTTAAAGACTTTACATTTGTTTGAATAAGCCGAGGAATCCCAGCTCCTCTTTTTTCCAATAGTGTTTTACCTTTCTGGGAAGTGGATGCTGGATATCTTGCTCCCAGCCATTCCACCTTTTAATAAAAATATTCTATCTTCTGATAATCTGAAATTTTCCTGTATCTTTCCAGAAGAAATAATGAAACTACAGCAGGGGCGGACTGACAACTCATGGGGCCCCCGGGCAATAGGGGATCATGAAGCCCCTGTGTCCTTGCCCACACTCAAAAAAGCCTATGAAAAAGGTACCAGGGGCATCTCATGGGACCCCCCTACTGACCCCGGGCCCTCGGGCAGTGCCCGAGTTTCCAAATGGTCAGTCCGCCCCTGAACTACAGCACAGTGGCTAAATGTTTATCACTTCTGCCTGGTAGCATTTAGGTTGTCAGTTCAAATCCCAACCAAGACACTACCTGCATGGAGTTTGCATGTTCTACCTGTTCCTGTGTGGGTTTCCTCCAGGTATTCCGGTCTCCTCACACGTTCCAAAGACATGCCACTTTTTAAAGGGGGTTGAAAAATTGGGGGAGAAGGTTAAGTGTTAAGGGTTTATTTTAGCTGTTGCATTAAAGCGGTATTAAACTCAAAATCAAACCTTTATTATATTGCAGCTTAAGAATTCTTCGATATGATGGCTGCATTAGTTTTCTTTTTTTTTAGGCTTTCTTTCCCTTATTTTCACATGGTGATCTGCCCAGTAAGTCTGTTGTTTTCCAAAAGAACAAGCTGTTCTGCCGATATAGCAGTTAGAGGGATGAAATAAACTACCACTGAGAGGGGTGCTTACAATAATCACCTTCTGTTTATGTAAAACCTTTATCCCAAAAGGAAAAAAATACAGTTTTTGTAACTAAAGTGTGAGCTGAAGTCTGGCTTCAATTTGTTAGTGTATTTAAATCTGCTAATACATCTTTTGGTGTAGGGTATAATACAGCTTTAGGTGTAGGGATTGGGGGGGGGGGGAGGGTTGTGTGGTAAGAATGGGTTATGTGTTGAGGGGAAAATGAAGTGTTATGGACTTGTTTTAGAGGTTAGGTGTTGGTGGGGAATTAAACTGCCACCCAGAAAAAAAAAAAAATTGACAGAATGCAGTTAGGACAGAATTGACCAACTGAAGGAGATTTACTAAAGTGAGTGCACACAGAATCTGGTGCATCTGTGCATATATATGTATGTATGTGTGTGTGTATGTATGTATGTATGTATGTGTGTATATATATTTATGTATGTATGTGTGTGTGTATATATATATATATACCGTAATATATATATATATATATATATAATATATAAATATATATACCGTATATATATATATATATATATATATATATATACACACATACATACATAAAAATATATATATATATATATATAATATATATATATATATACACACACACACACACACATATACACAGATATATATATATTTGTGTGTGTGTATGTATATATATATATATATATGAGTGCTGCATAAATTGATGGTGCTATAAAAGTACTTGTAACAAATAAAACACCACTACATGATGATTATATAATCTGTGTTTGGTATCTCTGGCTCTGGAGGGGTTAATGCAGTGCCACCCACACATCTTGCAAGTTGTAAACTGTGACAGAACCAAACAAGCGGGCAGATAGCATGGGCTCGGTGCCATCTCCGTCTGGCTTCAATTTGTTAGTGTATTTAAATCTGCTAATACGTATTTTGGTGTAGTAGGGTATAATACGGCTTTAGGTGTAGGGATTGGTGGTTGGGGGGGGGGGGGGGGTGGTGGTAAGAATGGGTTTTAGTGGTTAGGCTTTAATGGGCAATTAAACTGCCACCCAAAAAAAAAAAAATTTGACAGAACGCAGTTAGGACAGAATTGACCAACTGGAGGAGATTTACTAAAACTAGTGCACACAGAATCTGGTGCAGCTGTGCGTGGCAGCCAATCAGCTTTTAACTCCAGCTCGTTCAATTAAACTTTGACAACAAAACCTGGAAGCTGATTGGTTTCTAAGCAGTGTTGCACCAGATTTTGCACCCTCCGGTTTTTAGTAAATAACCCTCTATATGTATGTAAGAATGCGAGTTAGGGACCTTAGATCGTAAGTTCCTCGAGGGCAGGGACTGATGTGAATGAAATATATATATATATATATATATATAGAGAGATAGAGAGAGAGATAGAGAGAGAGAGAGAGAGAGAGACATGAGAGATAGAGAGAGAGAGAGACAGACATGGAGATATATATATATATATCTATCTATGTGTGTGTGTGTGTGTTAACATGTATGTATGTATATATATATGTATATATATATATATAATTATGTATGTGTGTATATGTATCTATCTATCTATCTATATATGTATATGTGTGTGTGTATGGTCCCTAACTCACATTCTTACATACACATAGGGGGTTAGTTACTAAAACTGGAGAGTGCAAAATCTGGTGCAACACTGCTTAGAAACCAAATATATACATAGATGTGTGTGTGTTAACATGTTGTTAACATGTATGTATTTTATATATATATATATATATATATAATATATGTATGTGTGTATATGTATATCTATTTTCTATCTATATGCGTGTGTGTATATGTATATGTATATATATCTATATATATATATGAGTGCTGCATAAATTGATGGTGCTATAAAAGTACTTGTAACAAATTTAAACCCCACTACATGATGATTATATAATCTGTGTTTGGTATCTCTGGCTCTGGAGGGGTTAATGCAGTGCCACCCACACATCTTGCAAGTTGTAAACTGTGACAGAACCAAACAAGCGGGCAGATAGCATGGGCTCGGTGCCATCTCCGTGGGACACTGTTCAACACATGTTCTTGCTGTTTGCAGGGATGAGTATTTCCGTATGAAGCTGCAGTGGAAATCTGTGAGCGAAGATCAAGAGAGGAGGAATTCTCTGCTGCGCGGATATCGCAGTTTAATAGGTTGGTATAACACGATGAATTCACGCTGACTTTGCTGCAGGTTGGCCAGGAAGCTCCTGTGTGATGTCCAGTGTCACTTAGGAGGGCTACTTAGGTGTGTGCTATATAAAATGCTCATATGAGGGGATATTGTAGGATCCTGGTTATTGACCTCTAGTCTGAGAACTATAGCTAGGAACAATCTACTGATGATCTCAGTATAATATACTGTAAGAATACTAGACAGGCACAGTTACTGTGAGACTGAATGGCAACTTTTAAAGGCTAAGTCCACCAATGCAAAGCTTTGCAACTACGATCAGTGGATTGTGGGTGTAATGCCAGGCTCCTGCAGACTCTTCCTCCTGCACTTTGTCCATACCAAGATTTGGACTTTGAGTTAGAGAGCTGAAGTGTTGATGCAATACGACTGCAGTGATCATCCCACTTGTGTTTCATTGGGAACTACAACTCCTTCTGCCATAGTGGCAGGTGGGACTTGTAGTTTATTCATTCACAGATCTCTAGGAATGAATGATGTGGTTGTTACGGGGCTACAATTTCAAATCTGGCAGCTTTTGTGGAGGAAACCCTTCACACTGGAACACTTTGAGGGTGGTGGATCCACCTGTCATCATATTACATGTTACACACTAAATATGGGACTTGTTCTTAAAGGTGGAGTTAGCTTTTCAAGAGGTATTAAACCCAAAACAAAAAATGTAATATATTGCAGCCTACCAGTCATTAGATGTAGCTGCATCCATTTTCTTTTATTTGGCTTTTTTTCCCCCTCTGTCTTCACCTGGTGATCTAGCCAATAACATACCTCCTGTATTAGTGAGAGATAACCTTTCTGGATGAATGAGCACAGGAGGCACAGCAGCATTGGTAGCCTGGTTTGTAGTTAAGCACATTAGTGCAATATGATGCATGCCGTATCTAGGCAAACAAGCCTATTAAGAGGTAACTTCAAAAGGTGGGGCTAAGATTAGGGATGTGCTTTGATTCAGTCTGAACCCAGAAGGCAGCTGTCAGTTTTGGGGCATTCAGCGGTACGTGAAAGATTTCTGTGCCCCACATGTGCATGTACACAAAGAGGCGGATACATTTGTGACATCATTGACCTATTATTATTTCAGGTACTTATATAGCGCCGTCAATTTACGCAGCGCTTTACATATATATATATATTGTACATTCACATCAATCCCTAACCCTCAAGAGGCGTACAATCTAAGGTCCCTAACTCACATTCATACATACATACATATACTAGGGCTAATTTAGACAGGAGTCAATTCACCTACCAGCATGTCTTTGGAGAGTGTGGGAGAAAACAGCCACTTACCTGTCCCTCTGTCCCGTGGTGTGTCCCCCGCAGCCCGTTTCACCGGCTGCACTGTATTCCAGGAGGCCAGCATCTTCAGTGTGGGCACCCGGCTGTGACAGCTTGCGGCGTCACAGCCGGGTACCCACTGCGCATGTGCGAGTAGCGCTGCGCTTCATGAATGGTCCTGTAGTCTTCTGGGACCTGTCACGTGTCCCAAGAGACTACAGGGAGGGAGGGAGGACAACTTCTGTTTCTGATGCCTAGGCCAGTGGTCGGCAAGCCGCGGCTCGCGAGCCACATGCCTGCTCTTTACAAACTTAAATGCGGCTCTTCTGTGTGCCGGCGCCCGCTCACCTCCCTCCTCTCGGGCGGCCGCGCCCGCTCCGCTCTCGCTCCCCCTCCCCTCCCTCCTCTCGGGCGGCCGCCCCCCTCCCTCCTCTCGGGCGGGCGGCCGGCCGCCCCCTCCCCTCCCCTCCTCTCCTCTCAGGCGGCCGCCCCCCTCCCTCCTCTCGGGCGGCCGCCCCAAAGTCAGGACTCTGCAGCTGTCAGGATGTAGGCGGGGCAGCCAGGATGTAGGCGGGGCAGCGTGACGAACTCCTCTCACAGTCCGCCCTGAAGACCAGAACGGCGCGGGCACACGGCGAGAGGAACGCGCGGAGCAAAGGTAAGTGAATTGACACAGGGGGGACTTACTATATGGGGGATGAATTACTATGGGGGATTAATTACTATATGGGGGATGTATTACTATGGGGGATGAATTACTATATGGGGGATGAATGAATACTATAGGGGTGATGAATTACTATAGGGGGGATGAATTACTATAGGGGGGATGAATTACTATATGGGGGATGAATTACTATGGGGGCTGAATTACTATAGGGGGGCTGAATTACTATATGGGGGCTGAATTACTATATGGGGGATGAATTACTATGGGGGCTGAATTACTATATGGGGGATGAATTACTATATGGGGGCTGAATTACTATATGGGGGCTGAATTACTATATGGGGGATGAATTACTATATGGGGGATGAATTAATTACTATAGGGGGGATGAATTACTATATGGGGGATGAATTACTATGGGGGGATGAATATTACTATGGGGAGATGAATTACTATATGGGGGATGAATTACTATATTATGGGGATGAATTACTATATGGGGGATGAATTACTATAGGGGGGATGAATTACTAAGGGGAATAATTACTATATGGGAGATGAATTACTATGGGGGATGAATTACTATATGGGAGATGAATTACTATATGGGGGATGATGAATTACTATGGGGGATGAATTACTATGGGGGATGAATTACTATGGGGATGAAATTACTATATGGGGGATGAATTACTATATGGGAGATGTATTTTCAGTTTTAAAAATGTGGCTCTCAAAATAAATTTCAATCGTGGTTTTGGCGAGATTTGGCTCAGTTGAAAAAAAAGGTTGCCCACCACTGGCCTAGGCGATCGATCGGACCAGAAGTGGGAGCGGGTACCTGTCAAATTCAGGTACCCGCTCCCCCCCCCCCCGCCCCCTAAAGGTGCCAATCCTTAACTGGGAGTGGGGGGACCAGTCCTTAAAGCGGAACTTCCCCTTTTGGGTGGAGCTCCGCTTTAAGTAGGACTATAGGCAAAAAAATTTTTTTTTTTTTTTTCTTTTCATTTTGGTTATAGCACAAGGAGGGTTAAAAGCCCCGGCAGATTTTCTTTCCGCCACCTGTGTCCCCTTTGGGAGATTTCCCTTCACTTCTTGTCCCATAGTTGATCAGGAAGTGAGAGGAAATTCATGAAAATTGAGAGAATTCCTTGAACCCCCCCCCCCCCAGGCTACCAGAACTATTCCAAAAAAAGAGGGGTTGTGAAAAGAAATTCACAAAGAAAGCGGCTACATTATGAACAGAATGTGATACTCAGAAAAATTTCCAAAAATTATGCTTTATTACACATACAAATTTGACATATGGGCAATCGCCCTGGTTTACCATCACCTCAGTATGAGACAATACATACAGACCTAAAACCATATAAAATGACACCAGAACCGGTCTAAATGTCTAAATACCGCGGGTTCCAGCCTCTTCTCGGCGCCTGTGCTGCCTAGACTTGCCTCATGGCATGTGAAAATGGCTTCCTCCTTGTGGGTCAGCGTGCGTTCCACCTAATGCGCATGACCGGAAGTGACGTATCTGACGTATGACGTCAACGCGTTTCGCCGATGGGCGTATCTCACTCAGCTTCGTCAGGACCAATGACTAGAGGCATGCCTTCTTTTTGACGCATACTGTGCTTGCTGCATTGCATACATGTGATGTTTATATCTATGGTATAATTTTTTGAAATTCCCTGTTTGGGATATAACCACTCTGGTAGTAGCTTAGTCTACACATTCATAACACGTGTTATGGTATACCTATGGTATAATTTTTGTATACACCTCCTTTGGGAAGTGTCCACCTCTGCGCTTGTGCTACAGGGACTTTAGACTCTTGTAGTCATTGTCCTTGTTGCACATGCATTTAGACCGGTCCTGGTGCCATTTTATATGGTTTTAGGTCTGTATGTATTGTCTCATACTGAGGTGATGGTAAACCAGGGCGAATGCCCATATGTCAAATTTGTATGTGTAATAAAGCATAATTTTTGGAAATTTTTCTGAGTATCACATTCTGTTCATAATGTAGCCGCTTTCTTTGTGAATTTCTTTTCACAACCCCTCTTTTTTTGCATGCCTTTTTTGGCTACTGAATGGAGACCATTTACTGGGTGATACGGTAATTCATTGTACGACCTCTTAATAATTATCTTTTACCAGAACTATTCCCCATTGGAATATTTGCCCTCTATTACTGTTCTGGAGACATCCCAAAATTTGGGATTTTCTTTACTTTCACTTTCAATGATAAAGGTAACAGGACAAATAGAGAGGGTGAATCTCCCTCATGGGGGCACAGACAGCAAGCAATAAAATCCTCATTAAGGATTGGTACCTTTTGGGGATCGGGTACCCGATTTTGACAGGTACCCGCTCCCACTTCCACTGCAATCATCTAGGCAATCGGAAGCGGAAGTAGTCCCCTCCCTCTCCCTGGTCTTCTGAGACACATGACAGGTCCCAGAAGACTACGGGACCATTCAGAAAGCGCAGCGCTACTCGTGTATGTGCAGTGGGCTCCCGGCTGTGAAGCCACAAGCTGTTACAGCCGGGTGCCCACACTGAAGATGACGGCCGGTGACACCTGCCATGGTGAGGACACTGCAGGATTGAGGGACAGGTAAGTGGCTGTTTTTTTACGTCAGCAGCTACATTTTTTGTAGCTGCTCATTTTAATTTTTTATGTTGTAACTGGAGCTCCGCTTTAAGTTTTGATTTGCCTTCCACATTAAGGCGATCGCTCTTTCTTGTATATCTTAAGAAACGAAAATATCAGATTGCCGTGAATTGTTTTTTTGTTTATTTCTTTTACAGAGAGAGATGTCAGCCGTACTGACAGAAACAATAAGTTTTACGAGGGGAATGACAACCCCGGCCTAGGTCTCCTCAATGACGTCTTGATGACATACTGCATGTTTAATTTCGATTTGGGTATGTTGCTTCGAGTTGTCTTCCTGAGCCCCTTTTCCTGGAGCCTTTTATTTACCGAGTCTGTTTCTGTTCAGGTTATGTCCAGGGAATGAGCGATCTTCTGTCCCCCATCCTCTACGTCACGCAGAATGAGGTGGATGCCTTCTGGTGCTTCACTGGCTTCATGGAGATGGTGGTTAGTATGGAGAACAAGTGAATATCTGCCTGTAGAAGAATTGAGGTCTTATTAAAAAGTAAAAAGATTGCATTAGAATGAGGAGCTGTTGAAATCAGTCAAGCCCAGGGGCGGACTGACCATTTAGAAAACTCGGGCACTGCCCGAGGGCCCGGGGTCAGTAGGGGGCCCCATGAGATGCCCCTGGTACCTTTTTTCATAGGCTTTTTTGAGTTTGGGCAAGGACACAGGGGCCCCATGATCCCCTATTGCCCGGGGGCCCCATGAGTTGTCAGGCCCCTGGTCCAGCCAGTTCACACTTTATTTACTGAGTCCTCTGGAGGGTTGGTGACACCTTCACAAGCCCCTAATAGTAATCTGAGGCCACATTCACACCTCTACATGTTGTGCTAAAAAAAATGCGTGCTGCATTTTTGATCCAGTTTCCAGAAAAGCATATTTACCATAGAGTTGAATAATCTGAATACCTTCTTTAGGGCCGGTTCACACCATAGAAATGCATTCCGGATGCTTTTTTGCATGCACGTTTTCGATGTGTTCTGGTGCTTTTTTTTATGCATTTTTTAATACGTTTTGGCAAATTTTTTCCTCCCTTTTTTTTTTTTTTTTTACCACCTTAACCTCGCACGCCGGCCGCACACAAATGTGCGGCCTCCCGGCGTCTGGGCCTAGACGCCGAGCGGCCGCGCACATTTGCGTGCGATTAACAAAAAACGTGCTGAGAGCTCGCACCCTGCGCGCTCCCAGCACACATGTCCGGTACTCAGGGAAAGGTCCCAGTCTGCTCTTTCGATTGGGACCTTTCCCGATCATGTGACTGCGTGATGACGCGTCACGGCGGTCACATGATCCCTAAAACTAAAACCTGCCCCGTCCCGTCTCCCCTGGCTTCTGAAAGTCTTAAAGGGCCGGGAGGCGCAGCGGGAAGGGGTTAAAGTGTTACTAAACCCACAACAGTAAAATCAGTCTGTATATGCAGTAAAGCATGCTTGTTATAGTGACTGTGGAACCTATTTATTTATTTCAGGTACTTGTATAGCGCCGTCAATTTACGCAGCGCTTTACATATATATTGTACATTCACATCAGTCCCTAACCCTCAAGGGGTGTACAATCTAAGGTCCCTAACTCACATTCATTTTAGCCAATTTAGACAGGATCCAATTCACCTACCAGCATGTCTTTGGAAAGCGTTTTCCAAAGAAGTGCAGGGACTTCTTCCCTGCATGTCACGGGCACAGGAGTGCATTCAAATGAATGGGCTCTTGTGCCCATGCAAAACGCGCCCCGCACGGCCGCATAGATATAAATTAAGCCTGTTACTAAAGTTAGGTTTATAAATTATTCTGGTTTTGGATGGAGTGAGAAAAACGTAGAATCTGTTATGGTGAGAAAGGACTATAGCAATCAATAAGATGAACGTATCCTTTAAAGCTGAAGGTATTTACATGTCATTCCATCACAAAACCCCAAAATAAGAGGATTATTCCTCATTTCAAGACATCCGGTGAAGCCATGCAAATAACTACTTTACACTCCATCAGCCAGCACAGTGGCTGAATGGTTAGCACTTCCACCTGGCAGTACTAGGGTCATTGGTTCGAATCCCAACCACGGCACCACCTGCCTGGAGTTTGCATGTTCTCCCTGTGCCTGCGTGGGTTTCCTCCGGGTACTCTGGTTTCCTTCTACACTCCAAAAACATGCTGGTAGGTGAATTGGCTCTGTCTAAATTGGCCCTAGTACATGTGTATGTATGAATGTGAGTTAGGGACCTTAGATTGTACGCCTCTTGAGGGTTAGGGACTGATGTGAATATATATATATATGTAAAGCGCTGTGTAAATTGACGGCGCTATATAAGTACCTGAAATAATAATAGGTCAATGATGTCACAAATGTATCCGCCTCTTTGTGTACATGAACATTTGGGGCACAGAAATCTTCCACCTACCGCTGAATGCCCCAAAACTGACAGCTGCCTTCTGGGTTCAGACTGAATCAAAGCACATCCCTAATCTTAGCCCCACCTTTGAAGTTACCTCTTAATAGGCTTGTTTGCATGTTCTCCCTGTGCCTGCGTGGGTTTCCTCCGGGTACTCCGGTTTCCTCTCACACTCCAAAGACATGCTGGTAGGTTAATTGGTTCCTGTCTAAATTGTCCCTAGTATGTGTATGTATGAATATGAGTTAGGGACCTTAGATTGTACGCCCCTTGAGGGTTAGGGACTGATGTGAATGTACAATATATATGTAAAGCGCTGTGTAAATTGATGGCGCTATATAAGTACCTGAAATAAATAAAGAATTTGCTAAATTTTATAAGAAAACACTTTTTTTCAAAATGTTTGAACATTTTCATTTATATAGCAAAAAAAATTATAATCTCAGTGGTGAATAAATACCACCAAAATAAAGCTTTATCTGTCTCAAAAAAATGCTAAAAAAATGGGTACAGTGTTGCATGACTGCGCAATTGTCATTCAAAGTGTGACAGTGCTGAAAGCTGAAAATTGGCCTGGACAGGAAGGGGGTAAAAGTGTCCGGACTGGAAGTGGTTAAAACAAATAGAAAATCAACAAACAAAGGGCATTTGCCAAGCTTCATTAAAGGTTTAAAAAAAAAAAAGTATAAAAAAAAGCATGTAGAAGCGGTAGGCGTTTTAAAGTCGAAACGGGTATAATTGAACCCTAGCAAAGGTGTCAGCAAGTGATGTATTCAGTTTCTGAGCTTGGCTTGTGAATGTCAGTCTACGTATGTAAACCTTGCGTTGGAACCCTCCGTCATCTCAGTTCTGCATGAATGAGGAGGCACGTTTATCATTTGGCTGACAGCAGCTGTAACCTATCAAAGCTTGCATTGTTTGGAGAGAGCAGACTGATCAATGCATTGATCTTCTTCGCCTGCATTCCAGCACCACAACTTTGAGGAAAGCCAGGAGAGTATGAAGAAACAGCTCGCCCAACTGAACCTCCTCCTCCGTGTACTAGACCCGGTGCTCTGCGATTTCCTAGGTATTTCTGTCTGTTACAGTTCTGTCTGTGTGGAAGCAAGGGTCGCTCATTATGAAGAAACGTATTTGATGCTGCAGTGTGGAGTCTGTCTGCCTCAAATAAATGTATGACCAATACCAGACACAGGGGTGGATTTACTAAAGACAAATAGACTGTGCACTCTGCCAGTGCAGTTATTCTCCTTTTACCCAAGCTTTGCGAATGTGGTAAAGCTTTACTTTGTAAAGAACACCCAATCAGGTGCAAGGAAAATAAAGAAAAAACGGCGTTTTGCTTGCCTATGATTGGATGATGAAATATGCAGCGGTTCACCACATTCACTAAGCTCTGGGGAAAGGAGTGCACTTGCAAAGTGCACAGTCTATTTGCCTTTAGCAAATCAACCCCACTGTCTATCTTAAAGTATTACTAAAGGCAAAACTTTTTTTTTTTTTCTTTTTTTTCATTTTGGATAGAGTCGAGATGGATTAGATCAGGTTTTTATTGCCGTCTGTGCCCCCCATTAGGGAAATTCACACTCTATTTGCCCTGTTTACCTGTTTTTAGAGTGAAAGTGAAGGAAAATCCCAAATTTTGAGTGGTCACTGGAACAGGAATAGAGGGAAAATCTTCCAATGAGGCCATTGGAAGGGAGGTTGATTTCCCTTTACTTCCTGTCCTATAGTCAAAATGGAAATTAGAAGAAATCGCTACAAAGTGAGGGTTGTCACTAGAATTTGGGTGTCATCTCTGATTGAACTCTCAACTCCCTCTTTTTTTTGTACTGCAGTGAGATGCGGACCAAGCCATTCAAAGGGTGGCGACCTAGCCCACAAATTATTGGGGTACAAAAAAGCAGGAATTCAGAGTTCGGGTTAGAGACGAGTTCAGAGGACACCCAAGCTCATCTCTAGTCACAACCAAGGATTTCCTCACTTTAGGACGAGTTCAGAGGACACCCAAGCTCCTCTCTAGTGACAACCAAGGATCCCCACTTTAGGACGAGTTCAGAGGACACCCAAGCTCATCTCTTGTCCTAAAGTTGGGATCCTTGGTTGTCACTAGAGATGAGCTTGGGTGTCCTCTAAACTCGTCCTAAAGTGGGGATCCTTGGTTGTCACGAGTTCAGAGGACACCCAAGCTCATCTCTAGTGACAACCAAGGATCCCCACTTTAGGACAAGAGATGAGCTTGGGTGTCCTCTGAACTCATCCTAAAGTTGGGATCCTTGGTTGTCACTAGAGATGAGCTTGGGTGTCCTCTAAACTCGTCCTAAAGTGGGGATCCTTGGTTGTCACTAGAAATGAGCTTGGGTGTCCTCTGAACTCGTCCTAAAGTGGGGATCCTTGGTTGTCACGAGTTCAGAGGACACCCAAGCTCATCTCTAGTGACAACCAAGGATCCCCACTTTAGGATGAGTTCAGAGGACACCCAAGCTCATCTCTTGTCCTAAAGTGGGGATCCTTGGTTGTCACTAGAGATGAGCTTGGGTGTCCTCTAAACTCGTCCTAAAGTGGGGATCCTTGGTTGTCACTAGAAATGAGCTTGGGTGTCCTCTCTAGAACTAAAGTGGGGTCCTTGGTTGTCACGAGTTCAGAGGACACCCAAGCTCATCTCTAGTGGACAAGCTCATCTCTAGTGACAACCAAGGATTCCCTCACTTTAGGACGAGTTCAGAGGACACCCAAGCTCATCTCTAGTAACAACCAAGGATTCCCTTACTTTAGGACGATTTCCTCTCACTTCCTGTTTGGACTGTAGGACAGGATGTGAAGGGAAATCTCCCCAATGAAGCAGAAATGGAACAAAAAAATACAGAAACAGCCATATTGTAAAGTGAAAGCAGCACACATTACACATTGTTAGGCACACAGTTAATGTCTTGATTGCTACTAGATGTTAACCCCTTGCCATCTAGTGTCATTAGTACAGTGACAGTATACAATATTAGCACTGAGCACTGTATTAGTGTCACTAATTATGCCAGTTTCAGTTAGTGTACCTCCCAGCCAGCGTCAGTTGCCCTCCACACTCTTTCACAGTCCCACTATAAGTTGCTGATCAGCACCATACCTATATATATTTTATATATATATATATATATATATATATATATATATATATAGCTACAAATGAATTTATTGCGATTATTTTTTTTTTTTTTTTCTACTAAAGACATGTAGCAGAGTACATACAAAAAATGATTTTATTTGATATGTTTTATAACAGAAAGTAGAAAATCTTGTTTTTGTTTCAAAATATTGGTATTTTTAAATTTAATAAAAATTAAAAACCCAGCGGTGATCACATACCACCAAAAGAAAGCTGTATTTGTGTGAAAAAAATGATATCAGTTTCATTTGGGTGCAGTGTTGCATGACTGATCAATTGTCAGTTAAAGCAGTGCAGTGCTGAACAGCAAAAAAACAATGCCATGGTCATGAAGGGGGTAAAACCTTCAAGATCAAGTGGTTAAGGAATTGTGCACATGATTTGTTTTTGTTCCAAAATTTTGGTCTTTTTAAATGTATTTAATAAAAAATAAAAACCCCAGCGGTGTGATCAAATACCACCAAAAGAAAGCTGTATTTGTGTGAAAAAAATGATATCCGTTTCATTTGGGTGCAGTGTTGCATGACTGATCAATTGTCAGTTAAAGCAGTGCAGTGCTGAATAGCAAAAAAAATGCCCTGGTCATGAAGGGGGTAAAACCTTCAAGATCAAGTGGTTAAGGAATTGTGTAGATGATTTCCTCCTAATGAATGTCTATATTTTTAATCCTGACAGATTCTAAAGATTCAGGCAATTTAAGTTTTTGCTTCAGGTGGATCCTCATCTGGTTCAAACGCGAATTTTCTTTCCAGGATATTCTCCTGCTGTGGGAGGTAAGTTCCAGTTACTGATATTAGATCTTTTTCTCCAAAACGCTTGTAGCAGCAGATCTGTTTAAAATGTTGAGGTCGGAACTAACTAGTGGTCCTGTCCTGTACAAAAGTACCCCATGATATTCAGAATTTGGTCTGCGACATCATATTGTGCACCTTGTGACATCATCTTGTGCACCTTGTGACATCATCTTGTGCACCTTGTGACATCATATTGTGCACCTTGTGACATCATCTTGAGCACCTTGTGACATCATCTTGTGCACCTTGTGACATATTGTGCACCTTGTGACATCATCTTGTGCACCTTGTGACATATTGTGCACCTTGTGACATCATCTTGTGCACCTTGTGACATCATCTTGTGCACCTTGTGACATCATCTTGTGCACCTTGTGACATCATATAGTGTAATGCTGCTGCTGTATAGGCTGTGCTTGTCCTCTAATTTGGCACTGTGGATTTTGCCTATGCCTAGGTACCTTTGGCGGCACTGATTGCTACTGTTGCAGTCTGTGTTACACATCCTCCTGTTTTGCTGCTCTGACCCTTTTCTTCCTTTACCGGATGAAGTTGGCCTTCACATACGGTTTAATCCTGCCAAAATCATTTGGGACAGCAAGCAATCGTCTAATGTCAAGGGGCACCGGCAGACCTTTCTGTGCAGCAGCAAGATGAATGGTCATTCATTAACATAACATAACTCCTGGCCTACTGTTGATCACCAGACTATTAAATCGCATTTTCTATGAGCATTGCTCTAAACAGCTTCAGTCTGCCCACATATCAGATGTTCGGTGTGAAATTCTACAGACGTCTCCTATTGTGCCAAATTCCATTCTGATTCAGATCCATCAAAATAAACACGTACAGAAATACTCTGCTTTGTTTATTTGTTTCAATCAAGGTGTTATGGACAGGTCTTCCTAGCCCCAATTTCCACCTGCTTATTGGCTGTGGTATACTGGACCTGGAGAGAGATGCGCTAATGCATTCAGACTACGGCTTCAACGAGATCCTGAAGGTATGGCTTTTTGTAGTGCAAGCAGCACATCTTTTCTTTGTAATGGTCCTACAAACTGTTTTTCATCCCATTATGGTAGAACAAAGGGTCTCCAAGGCACAGTCTGCAGGCCGCATCTGGCCCAATACAAGATTTTGTTTGGCCCACAGCTAGGGTCAGACTCAGTGCACTTAAGATTCAGATCAGTTGGTCTCCAATTCTGATGGGGGCCCTAATGTATGGGGGATTGTGATAGGAATGCTAATGTAAGGGGGGACACTGATGGGTACCCCAAAGTATGGGGGAACTCTGATAGGGACCCTAACGTAAGGTGAGACACTGATGGGTGCCCTAATGTATGGGAAATAGTGAAAGGGACCCTAATGTAAGGGGGCACACTGATGGGTACTTTTATGTTTGGGGAACGCTGATAGGGTCCCTAATGTAAGGGGGGACACAGATGGGTACCCCAATGTTTGGAGGAACTCTGATAGGGTCCCTAATGTAAGGAGGGACACTGATGGGGACCCTGATGTTTGGAGGAACTCTGATAGGGTCCCTAATGTAAGGAGGGACACTGATGGGGACCCTGATGTCTGGGGGAACTCTGATAAGGACCTTAATGTAAGGGGGGAACACTGATGGAGAATTCTGAGAGGGACCCTAATGTATGTGGGGACCCTGATGTATGGGAGAACTCTGATAGTGACCCTAATGTACCTGGGACCCTAATGTATGGGGTAACTCTGATAGTGACCCTAATGTATGGGGAATTGTGGGAGGGACGGGGGAACTCTGATAGTGACCCTAATGTACGTGGGGATCCTGATGTATGGGGGAACTCTGATAAGGACCTTAGTGTAAGGGGGGACACTGATGGAGAATTCTGAGAGGGACCCTAATGTATGTGGGGACCCTGATGTATGGGAGAACTCTGATAGTGACCCTAATGTACCTGGGGACCCTAATGTATGGGGTAACTCTGATAGTGACCCTAATGTATGGGGAATTGTGGGAGGGACGGGGAACTCTGATAGTGACCCTAATGTACGTGGGGATCCTGATGTATGGGGGAACTCTGATAAGGACCTTAGTGTAAGGGGGGACACTGATGGAGAATTCTGAGAGGGACCCTAATGTATGTGGGGACCCTGATGTATGGGAGAACTCTGATAGTGACCCTAATGTACGTGGGGACCCTAATGTATGGGGGAACTCTGATAGTGACCCTAATGTATAGGGAATTGTAGGAGGGACGGGGAACTCTGATAGTGACCCTAATGTACGTGGGGATCCTGATGTCTGGGGGAACTCTGATAAGGACCTTAATGTAATGGGGGACACTGATGGAGAATTCTGAGAGGGACCCTAATGCATGTGGGGACCCTGATGTATGGGAGAACTCTGATAGTGACCCTAATGTATGGGGGAACTCTGATAGTAACCCTAATGTATGGGGAATTGTGGGAGGGACGGGGAACTCTGAAAGTGACCCTAATGTACGTGGGGATCCTGATGTATGGGGGAACTCTGATAAGGACCTTAATGTACGGGGGGACACTGATGGAGAATTCTGAGAGGGACCCTAATGTATGTGGGGACCCTGATGTATGGGGGAACTCTGATAGTGACCCTAATGTATGGGGGAACTCTAATAGTGACCCTAATGTATGGGGAATTGTGGGGAGAGACGGGGAACTCTGATAGTGACCCTAATGTACGTGGTGATCCTGATGTATGGGGGAACTCTGATAAGGACCTTAATGTAATGGGGGACACTGATAGAGAATTGTGAGAGGGACCCTAATGTATGTGGGGACCCTGATGTATGGGGGAACTCTGATAGTGACCCTAATGTATGGGGAATTGTGGGAGGGACCCTAATGTAAGAGGGGACGCTGATGAGGAACTGTGAGAGGGACCCTAATGTAAGAGGGGACGCTGATGAGGAACTGTGAGAGGGACCCTAATGTACGTGCACAGCTCAGGTTACATTGCTGGCATGGTCCCTGTGTGTTGAGACGACTGACTTCTGGGCATGTGCAGTAGTTCTCACAGCTCATCCTGCATCGGCTAATAAAGAAGTCCAAAGCCCGGCACCCAGAAGGAGTCGGGGAGAAGATGCCAGCACCGAGGAGGGACCCCTTGCGGACTTTGTATAGTTAGAGAGGATGTAAGTATATTAACTTTAGTTCTGCAGAATCGAAAACTGTAATATCGGTTTTGGATAGACTGACCCTTTAAGTGCCATAGAGATACAAAAAGAATTCATTAAAAAAAAATGAGTTTTGCACTGTAACAAAAACAATGAATTATGTGCTGCTTTTTCTGCTTGTCCTGTGATTTTAGTGTTTTTTGCATTACTTCAGTGTCTCGTAGCTCCATACAGTATGTTTCTGCAGACCTTACTTATCTGTTGCTTTGCCTCTGTTCAGCACATTAACGAGCTGACCATGAAGATGAGCGTGGAGGACATTCTGTGTCGTGCTGAAGCTCTGAATCAGCAGCTGGCACACTGTCAGGTGAGTGCCGGGGTTGTGGCTGCTAACACTGCAGCACCGCCAATGCTTTGTGACCTAACCATTGCCTCTTATTTGACAGCCAGCCTGTGATTTCATCAGTATGGGTAGCTGTGTTTATGGGTATTTGTTCTGTTTCCAGTGAATCTGTCATTAGAAAAAGAAAAAAAAGACAAAAACAAGATGAAATAGAAAAACAATTGCTCCAAAGCCAAGCAAGAGCTGTATGCAAATCTTGACTCCCCCATCATGTCACAATGCTACAACATTGTGGGATGTAGGGTGGGAATTGAACCGCTCTCTGAATTAGCTCCGGTTTACAATAGCATGCATTGCAGGACACCCCAGATCTGTGTGCGTTTCCTGCACCTCATTCAGAATGCATTGCTCCTGTGGTCTGCAGCGGCTGTCATTGCAATATTAACCTCCCTAGCGGTCTGAATATGTTAATATTTCTGTGCTCAAAGTGGTAAATTTTTTTGCATGGAAATATGTAGTATTTTTATTGTAGGCCTGTAATTCTTAGGAATAACTCACTGAAATCTGTCCGAACAAGAGTCTAGTAAACATCCCGGGTAGGATAAAATTTGAAACACGAAATCATAAATACTAATATAATTAATCATAAAAAATAATATAATAATAAATTTAATTCAATAATATAATCCAACCAAAAACACTGAAATTTGAAATAGAGCGCCAAGTTCGCACATCGCTGAGCAAAGTCGCAAAATTGTTTTCAGTGTCTGATGACGAATTTCCCCCATGAATCATCACTCAATTCTGCAAGTGGTTCTGATTTACTATCGCTGTTCTCTAGTCGGTCTAAAACCGCTTTTGACCTAAAGGGACGCTTTTTGGACGCCATGGACGTTTCTTAGTTTCCAGGCAGAAAGAACAGTAAAAATGCAGGCAGGGCGCCGGACAAAGCACTCGGGACAAAATGTATGTGAAATGGTTTGATACAGGAATGTTATACTATGTGATTTTAGTGTATTTAGTGAAAGTCACATTTTTGAATTTCCTGCCGGTTCCGTCCCCCGTACGTCCCGGAGCTCACAGGGAACGGAACCCGGAAGACGGATGCCGGCATCGACCGGAGGAGATGGCCGGGGATGCTGCGGGGGGGACATCGCGGGAGTGCAGGACAAGGTAAGTGCTGGAGGGAATCCCAGAGCAACACTGCAGTGTATTCCCGAGTGTAGCTCGGGGTTACCGCTTTTGGTACTGAAAGTTAACCCCGAGCTACACTCGGGAATACCGCCAGGGAGGTTAATGACACCCCAAACGCAGGTCAGAAATGCAGTGCGCATGCCAGCACCGTATTGCATGGTACAAAACTACCACGCAATTCAGTTGCAGTGCATTTTCAGAAGTACTGCATGCACTACTTCGGTGCGATTTAAACCCATTCAAAGTGTTTAAATTGAAGCTGCATAAAAACTCTTAATTTTAAATGTCTTCATGTTGCCTTCTATATAATTCAGCCACTCAGTGCCAAAAAAATATCTTGCCCCTGGCAGTCAGCTGCAGAGAATCCAGCTGCTTTTTGTATGTAAGCAGCGGCCTCTCTGCAGTTGTCTGAACCCACCCCTCTCTCAGCCCCCCACACTGAGTCACAGCTAAAGAACTGCAATTAGCAGGGACCATGAGCTTTGCTGATGACAGAGATATTGGTCTGACTTGGCAAGGAGTCTGACTGCCAGGTTCGAGATGTTCTGCTGGAACTGGGGGCTGATTATATAGAAGACAGCAGTAAGTTATTTAAAAAAAATAATAGATTTTATACAGCCTCAATTTGAACAGATATATCAAATGAATGGACTGAAAATTGTGCGCTCCTGTGTGATTGAGGTGTGAACCAGCCGTCAATATTTCAAAAAACCAAAATCGTCCACCTATGTTTTTAGGGGTGGCCATACATGGATCGAAATTCAGTCAGTTCTTTGGACCGGACGAACTTTTATCCATGTCCTGGATTGTAAGCTCCAAGGATCAGGGCCCTCCTATCCCTCTTGTATTCAACTGTATTGTTGCTGTATTGTCTCCTGTTATATTGTAGAGCGCTGAGCAAACTGTTGGCGCCATATATCCTGTATATATAATAATAATAATATATAAATCCTGTATAATAATAATATATAAATCCTGTATAATAATAATAATAATAATAATAATATATAAATCCTGTATAATAATAATAATATATAAATCCTGTATAATAATAATAATAATAATATATAAATCCTGTATAATAATAATATATAAATCCTGTATAATAATAATAATAATAATAATAATAATAATAATAATAATATATAAATCCTGTATAATAATATATAAATCCTGTATAATAATAAATAATGTATGGGCAGGCTGGTTGTCCAAAAGTCAATCTACCAATCAACTTCTGTACAACCAGCCTGTTGAGTTTTTCCTGAGCGATCAGTGCTGCCGGCTACAGCTTCTCCCCCCTGCTGAGTGCATGCTCATTCCCGAACCCCGCTCTTTGTGTCTTATGGACACACAGCCCCCCCACACTCCACCGGCTGTGATTGACAATGGCTCCCTCTGCAGTGTCTCAGCCAATGAAGAGGAAGAGAGTCGAGAGCCGCTGTATCGAGCGGACTGACCATCTGGAAACTCGGGCACTGCCTAAGGGCCCAGGGTCAGTAGGGGGCCCCATGAGATGCCCCTGGTACCTTTTTCATAGGCTTTTTTGAGTTTGGGCAAGGACACAGGGGCCCCATGATCCCCTAAAGCCCGGGGGCCCCATGAGTTGTCTGTCCGCCCCTGCTCTGTATTCCTGTACTTCGCTGGATCAAGATCAGACTCAGGTAAGTATTAGGGGGTGCTGGGTGGGAGCTGCCCCATGAAGGTTTTTTGCCTTCATGCAGAGAATGCATGAAGGTAAAAAAACTTCATGTTTTAGAACAACTTCAAGAGCTTGTTTACGGCTGGGAGGGTGAGACGGGAGAATAAAACCACCCAGTCAAGCCATGTTTTTACCACCCCTCAGTCGCTCCCTCTTTAACTGGAAGAGCAGTGACCAGAGGTGTACACATGCTTTGCAACCATGGCAGGTATTATACACCCTGTCACGTTTGGCGGCCTTTACCGCTTTTCAAAGTGAATAGGGCTGCACTAAAACTGCAAGCAATGCATGTGGTTGTGTCCTGGTGGGTCAGCATTTAGGGGGTTATAGCAGGCAGTGAGGAGACGTTGTCAAATGCTTTCTTAAGAGCGATCCCCTTGCTAGTGTAAACTAGCCCTAAGTGTGAACATCAACATGACGGGTTTGATTCACAATAAAATGTCCCCACTATTGTCTGCTAATAGCAGCTGGCATTAAAATTTGCATGCTCTCTTACAGAGCTGTCCTTTACATGCATCCTTAGTATGCTACCAGCAGAACGAATATTAGTGGCAAAAGTACTGTATACCTGCCCAATATCGGGAGGTACTGGTGTACAGGATTAGCACGCCAAGAAGCCTCATGGCCTCCCAATAGGGCACAATACCGTGTTTCCCCCAAAAATAGGACACTGTCTTATATATTGTTTGGCTCAAAAAAACACACTAGGTTTTATTTTCAGGGTAGGTCTTATTTTTTAAATGTCCAGGACAGGTGGTGCTGAGGTGAGCTGCAGGCAGAGTTGTGGATGAGGGTTACTATGGAGAGGGCCGGCTGATGACAGTCGTGAGCTGCAGTCAGGTGTTGCAGGGGTGACTTGACAGGTGAGTTTCAGACAAGGTGCAGATATGAGCCACAGACAGGGTGCAGGGGTGAGTTGTAGATGTGGGATGCAGAGGTGAGCTGTGGCTGGGGGGTGCAAAGGTGGGTTGCAACTCAGCTCACCTCTGCACCCCCCCCAGCCGCAGCTCACCTATGCACCCTGCCTGCAACTCACCTGGCTCAATTTACCTCTGTAACACCTGACTGCAGCTCACCTTTGCATCCCCCCTCCCCCTCCACTGCTCTCATACGATTAGCTAGCTTTGCAAAACTCCGCTGTCAGCAGTCGGCCCCTCTCTATAGTAACTCCTGTTTCAGGTCCTATCTTCCCACACAGTGCACCAAGTGCACTTACTCACTGCTCCACCTCTCCCCCACTGGCCGGTGATCACCCCTGGGGCATCGGCATCCATGCATTAGGCTGCAGGAGGAGATGCCCCGCCCTAAACACACTGCACCCGCAGATATCTGTTCCTTCCCTGTCCCACAGTGAGTACAGAGGTAGGGGGGTTCTGTGGGAGCGGACGGTGAGTACAGAGGTGGGGGTTCTGCGGGAGCGGACGGTGAGTACAGAGGTAGGGGGGTTCTGCGGGGAGCGGACGGTGAGTACAGAGGTAGGGGGGTTCTGTGGGAGAGGACGGGGGAGTACAGAGGTAGGGGGGTTCTGTGGGAGCGGATGGTGAGCACAGAGGTAGGGGGGTTTCTGTGGGAGCGGATGGTGAGTACAGAGGTAGGGGGGTTCTGTGGGAGCAGACGGTAAGTACAGAGGTAGGAAGGTTCTGTGGGAGCGGATGGTGAGTACAGAGGTATGGGGGTTCTGTGGGAGCGGATGGTGAGTACAGAGGTTCTGTGGGAGCGGATGGTGAGTACAGAAGTATGGGACTTCTGTGGGAGCGGATGGTGAGTACAGAGGTAGGGAGGTTCTGTGGGAGCGGATGGTGAGTACAGAGGTAGGGAGGTTCTGTGGGAGCGGATGGTGAGTACAGAGGTAGGGGGGTTCTGTGGGAGCGGATGGTGAGTACAGAGGTAGGGGGGTTCTGTGGGAGCGGATGGTGAGTACAGAGGTAGGGGGGTTCTGTGGGAGCGGATGGTGAGTACAGAGGTAGGGGGGTTCTGTGGGAGCGGATGGTGAGTACAGAGGTAGGGAGGCTCTGTGGGAGCGGATGGTGAGTACAGAGGTAGGGGGGGCTCTGTGGGAGCGGATGGTGAGTACAGAGGTGGGGGGTTCTGTGGGAGCGGATGGTGAGTACAGAGGTAGGGGGGTTCTGTGGGAGCGGATGGTGAGTACAGAGGTAGGGAGGTTCTGTGGGAGCGGATGGTGAGTACAGAGGTAGGGAGGCTCTGTGGGAGCGGATGGTGAGTACAGAGGTAGGGGGGCTCTGTGGGGGAAACGGATGGTGAGTACAGAGGTGGGGGGTTCTGTGGGCGGATGGTGAGTACAGAGGTAGGGGGGCTCTGTGGGAGCGGATGGCGAGTACAGAGGTAGGGGGGTTCTGTGGGAGCGGATGGTGAGTACAGAGGTAGGGAGGTTCTGTGGAGCGGATGGTGAGTACAGAGGTAGGGGGGGTCTGTGGGAGCGGATGGTGAGTACAGAGGTAGGGGGTTTTATGTGGGAGCGGATGGTGAGTACAGAAGGGTAGGGGGCTCTGTGGGAGCGGATGGTGAGTACAGAAGTAGGGGGGCTCTGTGGGAGCGGATGGTGCTGTCACTTCAGCCGCGCTTCTGTGTTTATAAGAGACAGTAGATATGGGTGTTTGCAGGGTCAGTGCCGGAGGTGGCGGAATGGCGTTCCGGCTAAAAAAAAGCCCCTGATCACAACTAGGTCTTATTTTCGGGGTAGGTCTTATTTTAGGGGAAACAGGTATCTGTTTTTTAATGCAGCCGTCCATGTGACCATTGAAGAGGATACAGGGGGTAACACCCCTCTAAATATCCCCCTACTCTTATCACGGCACTTTCACTATGTTGATAGTGGATCAGGTAGTTCTCACTTGCCCTTGTAGGAGTATTTTCCTCTACTGTAATCCACCAAAATAGGGGAATGAAATATCCTTGAAGAGATTGCAATGCGAACAAGATAGCAAGGACGTTGTAGTGGAAAAATGCAGTGTAGTGAGATTTATCCTAAACATAGATCCTGCTCTATGTATCTAGGTTTCTGTTAAACAAAGGGCAGGATTTCACCTCTGTTGCGATCCTCTGCAGTAATTTGAGATTTTTTTTTTTTTTTTTTTTCCATATATAATTATTTAGACTAGCTATCCTGAAAAAGAACGTGGTTGTATAGAAACAGGATAGGTCTTAAAGGGACATCCCAGACAAAAATTTAGATCTGAATTCCAGATATGGATTTTATAGCATAGTTTCATTGGTCCAGCTTGGCCCATGTAGGTATACATAGTCCATACTCCTGGGACTTCTATGGAAGCTGGAAATCAATGTAATAGTCTCAGCTACTACATCAATCAGCACTATCTTCCGGGTCCCGTGCTGAGCAGCTGCCCTACTACATGGTGGCTACATGGGGTTACCCGATCAGCATGGGTGCCATTCAGTGAACACCTTCCATTTTTCTCAATAGTTGTTTTCTGATTGGACGGGTGGAGAGCCTCTGGGATATTGGAGGAGAGTAACGTGATGGTCTGCACCTGCTCAAATTAGAGAATGCCTTGGTATCATAAGGTGCAATATCTTGTGTCGACCACTATAGAAATTCTCTTTTAACTACCACTGGAACCCTATAGTAGCATATGAGGAACATAGTATTGCTGTCATTAATAAGAGGCTTGTACCGAAAGTAATGCAAAAATGGTCATAACACTTTTGTTGAAGTCTCATTTTGTTTTTTAATAACAGACTTGTCATACTTATCTGCTCTGTGGAATAGTTTTGCCCTGATCCTCCTCAGGTCCCCTGCTGGCATCCTGGCCCCTCCTACTTGCTGAGTGCCCCTAGAGCAAGCCACTTGCTCTAGGGGCACTCATGCATGCTTACTCCTGAGTTCTGCTCCGTCTGTCTATAAGATACACAGAGTGCTGCTCAGCCCCACCTCTTCCCTCCTCACTGGCTGTGATTGACAGCAGCTGGAGCAAACGGCTCCCGCTGTTGTGTTTTAGCCAATGAGAAGAAGAGAGAGACCCGGGAGAGCCACTTCTGTGCACAGCACTGGGTTGAGATCGGGCTCAGGTAAGTATTTGGGGGGCTGTGGGGGTGCAGCACACAAGTTTTTTTTTTACCTTCATGCATAGAACATACCTTAACAACCACCTTCTGCCTCTGTCTTAAGTTACATAGGCCATTCAAATTTCACATGTTGTTAGAGTAACTTTTCCTGTTATAAACTCTTCTTCTATTTTGTTACAGATAAATATTGGATTCCAAACAGAAGCAATATGCCCTCATTGAGTTCTTGACGGATGAAGGACGGGGTGCAGACTGACATCTGCAGAAGGTTACAGAGATGACACCATTGACAAGAGTCACCAATGACAAGACATTGCTCTTGTCAATGGTGCCATCTTCTTAAACACTCTGTAGTCTTATGTGGATGTCAGACAGCCTTCAACCCTCCTTCATCAAGAACTCAATGATGGCATGTTGCTCCTGCATGGAGTCCATTATTTACCTGCAGTGAAAAAGAAGAAGAGGAGGAGCTACTAAGGAGGAAAAGTTACTCTACCTGTGAAATTTTGTAAGTTAAAGGAGAGAGAGGGCCAAAGCTCTTTTGGCCCTACGTGTCCTGTGGGTCACAAGATTGCACCTCATTCTGCACTCCTGTGATCCATTTTCGTCAGACAGCGGGTTAAAGCCTACTGTTGGCTGAAGTCACTGGGCCTATCAAGGCTCTGGAGAGATCCCGTCTTTAATGATCCACCCAAATGCCTGGATCGGAAGCTTGATCAGCTTTTCAGCTGTCCGCTGAGAGCCTGAGCCAGCCACTCCCGCCCCCTCCACAGTCAGGCACTCCAGCGAGTGCTGGAGGAGCAGAGCAGAGAGCCGGTGGCTGGCAGTCACCGGCTCTCTGCTCACTGAAACTGAGCAATGAGCGGTCTTTGATCGCTCAGTTCTCAGTCCTGGTAGCAGGAGACAGATGCAGCTTTGGACCGATGCTGCATCCACCTACGCGAGTATGAAAGTTTTCATTAAAAGAGAAGTTCAGGAATGAAAAAAAAAATGATGCCCAGTTTTGCATTACTTTGGGTACAGCCCTCATATGACGGCTCTTTGCCAAACTTTGTACAAATGATAACTTTCAGAAAGTCCGCATAGTCTCATCTTGGAGGCTCCAGTGTTTTGAAGAGGATTCCTGTAACACTGGTGGTGCCTACTACTTCCATTTCCATTTTTGACTACAGTACACCTTTAATGCGCAACAGGTTGCAGATGTTAGTTGCGCACAGGGGTAGACTGACCATTTGGAAACTCGGGCACTGCCCAAGGGCCCGGGGTCAGTAGAGAACCCCATGAGATGCCCCTGGTACCTTTTTCATAGGCTTTTTTGAGTTTGGGCAAGGACACCGGGGCCCCATGATCCCCTATTGCCCTGGGGCCCCATGAGTTGTCAGGCCACCCCTGGTTGCGCAGTTAGAGTATTCGCATGTTTCCAGCACAATTGTCATTTAAACCATCTAAGCGTAAAGCATATCCTGATGTATTTTCTGTTCTTGTTCTGCAGGATTTGCCTCTTAATGTTAAAGAGCTGCTTGGCCTGATCGAGGCGAAGAGCCCAGCACCCAGTACAGACACTGCCAGCTCTCCCCAGCCACTTTCTCCAAGCCAAGTCCACGAATTGGACCTCACAGAGAGTGTATCCCCAAGCCAGCCCGACAGTAGCATTGAGATCCTGCCAACGGAGGACACCACAACATCACAGAGCCTGTCTCCTTGACCTGGACCGCGTTTGGTGGCCTTGCCCTGTAACACACCCACATCGTAAGCAGACTTGTGTCTAGAACTTCAGCCTTAATATGGTTCCACGCAGTCATGTGATCACATGCACTCATCCGTCGACGTTCACTAAAAATTGACCTGTATAGAGAAAGGAGGATTCTGTTGAAGAGTCTTCAAAGTCTGTATACTGAGACGTGTATACACACACAATCCCCCCTTCCCCCTCTCCACCCATGTCTTGGGAGCATGCAAGTACATAAGGAACCTTGAAAATTCATTGTAGAAAAAATACTAATGTATAAATATAGCTGAATATTCCAGGATTTACTTTTTTACCATTGTTAACTATGTGTGTGGCAATCTGATAATGTGATAATATGTAGCATTCAACATGGAACTAGTTGGGGTTGATTTACTTATGCAGGCCATACATGGTTCGAACGATTTTTAGTCCGAAAATCTGAAACATCGTTCACTCGGTAATCCGATGGTGCCATCATTGATTTTGAAAATCGCCCGACCAAGTCATAGAGTTCACCCCATATAACATGCGAAACTTCTGTTCCTTCCAGGTCACGGCTCATGCGATCGTACGATTTGACCATCATTGAGTCGAAAATCAGTCGTTTTTCACAAATTTTCCAACATGCCCGATCACCGAAAAGGGGAGGAACCACGAAAATCAGCCGGTGCCATCGACCCACTGACGGAGCGAAAGTCAGCCGATTAATCTTAGGTCCGATTTTCGGACTAAAAATCGGTCGATTTTCAACCCATGTATGGCCGGCCTAACAGTGGAGAGTGCAAAATCTGGTGCAGCTGTGCGTGGTAGCCAATCAGATTCTAGCTTCAGCTCTGGAAGCTGATTGGTTTCTGTGGAGAACTGCACCAGATTTTGCACTCCCCAGTTTTAGTAAATCAACCCCATTGCGTTTTTCCACAGGTTTGCCGATTTTTAATGCCTTCACACTTTTTCATGGCTAGCTTTGTCATTTAGAAACTAGGAAACTGGTCATTAAATCGGGCCTGGGGTTTTTTTTAATGCTTGAAGTCGAACTGCATTTATAACTAAAAAATTAGCGTCAGGTGTGTGAGGTTGCACAATAGGATTTTATCTCCTTAGCTGGTGCCGGTAAGATTATTATTCACCCCCGGTTCACATCTATGCGGCCATGCGGGCCGCGTTTTGCGTGTGCTCAAAACCCCATTTATTTGAATGGACTCCCGTGCCCTGGGACACACAGGGAAGAAGTCGCAGCCCAAACAGGAACCTCAGTTCCCAGTACGGTTGCGTTTTCCAGTGCGGGCAACGCGCCATTAGAACTAATGGCACCCGCTTGCAGGTCCACACTTTTCTGTGCGGGTGGTGCGGCTGCATGGATTTTTGTGCGGATCCACAGCGGCACCACCCGCACAGATGTGAATCTAGGGTAAAGCAGTATGCAGCCTTGTTACATCACCTCATATTCTTCTCTTTAATAAGTCCTCGTGCACACGGGACGTTTTGATAACGCTGGTAACGTAAGCTGTGTAAAGTTGCGTTAAAAACGTGAGTTTTTTTAGCATTTTTGCATTAGTTTTTTTTTGGTAAAAAAATGCCGGTTTGTGGCATTTTACTGCGTTAGAGCACTTTTCCAGTTAAAAAACTCCTCTAGAAACCCACTAGTCCTTTTTTTTTTTTTTTTTTTTTTCCCAGCCCAAAAACGTTGATTCCAGTCTATGTGTGCATGAACACATAGGATAACATGCTGGGGGGTTTACTGGCTGTAGAATAAAAACGTCAAAAACCAAAAACAGCCGCTGTAAAAAACGTCCCGTGTGCATGAGGACTAAGAATACAATAGCCTTGACTCCCTTGTTTAGTTAGAACATGGTCTAAAGCCGGCCATAGAATGATTGAATCTCGGCCAGTCCCCATCTATGGGCAGGCTAATTGTACCCAATTTGTATGTCTTTGGTACAAACCTTTTGGATTTTTCATGTGATTATTGCCAGTAACTATAGCCGCTAGTAGTAGTCACTGTGTTCTTCCTGCAGGGACAGGCGCCCCCTCCCTCCAGGAAAATACAATAGCTCCGCGGGAGGGATTTCCCTATCGACGCTGACTGTGTTGATGGGGGAATTGAGCGATTTTCTTCCTTGCAACCCGTGGTTGCAGGAAAGAAAATCGCATCATCTATGGCTGGCTTAAATCATAAATAGGCATTTGGCATGGTTATCCACCACTAATTCTCCTCATTGTGTTTTGACGCTGAGGTTTTCAGCACTGGCGAATTAGGCTGACCATAGATGGATCGGAGGGTTGCCAATTCAGCAGGGACCGGCCAGATTTTTAATCCAGCTATGGTCATTCCTGCCCTAGAGGAGTCGATCTAACGATCGACTCTTCTCGAACAGAACTGTTGATAAATATTCATGCAACGAAAACTGGCTGCAGGGCTCATCAGTGCATTCTGACAGTAGATATGTCAGAATACAACAGAGCTGCTGGGAGAATCCGTTCAGTTTTTCTCAATCAGCCTGCTGAGTAAACTGAGTCCTCTATGGCCAACTTTGGGCATAGATTTGTTTTTGGCACATGAAGATTACAACTGCAGTATTATTAATGCTAATGTTAACATTTGGTATGATATTCATTGTGACAGAATAGTCAGAGAAATACTTATGGATGAGCTTGACATTTAAAGCTAGATTTAGGTTGAAGTTTATGTTTTGTGCTGCAGTAATGCATGGTAAAGGCATATTTTACTGCACTGCATTGTATTTCAACAAACGAATACAATGGCCCCCCACACTGCAGAGCATCGCAGGGCACAGGAACGCACATACTGCATGTTGTGATTCTATAAACATCATGGCCTGCAGCCTCCTATGGTCTGTTTCCATCCTACTTTGCTGGGGAGAAAGCTAATTTCAGTTCCCATTCGATGAAGAAGGAGATGGGATAGGGGCTCAACACTGGCATGAATGGGGGCAGCTCGTCTTCCAAAAGTGCCTTATAGAAGCTTACCCTGCAATAAAGGTTACACAAACAGAACCTGGGAGGCTGCAGGCCTTGGTTTATCCAGTACACAGGTCCAGGCAAGAAAAGCAGTTCCTAGATCAGTGTTTCTCAACCTTTTTTCAGGCAAGGGACCCTTTAAAATTATGGACAGCCCGAGGCACCCTTTAAAATTATGGACAGTCCCGAGGCACCCTTTAAAATGATGGGCAGTCCCGAGGCACCCTTTAAAATGATGGGCAGTCCCGAGGCTCCCTTTAAAATTCTGGACAGTCCCGTGGCACCCTTTAAAATTATGGTCATTCTTGAGGCACCCTTTAAAATTCTGGACAGTCCCGAGGCACCCTTTAAAATTCTGGACAGTCCCGAGGCACCCTTTAAAATTCTGGACAGTTCCGAGGCACCCTTTAAAATTCTGGACAGTCCCGAGGCACCCTTTAAAATGATGGACAGTCCCGAGGCAACCCTTTAAAATGATGGACAGTCCCGAGGCACCCTTTAAAATGATGGACAGTCCCGAGGCACCCTTTAAAATGATGGACAGTCCCGAGGCACCCTTTAAAATGATGGGCAGTCCCGAGGCACCCTTTAAAATTATGTACATTCTTGAGGCACCCTTTAAAATTATGGACAATCTCGAGGCACCCTTTAAAATTATGGGCAGTCCCGAGGCACCCTTTTAAAATGATGGGCAGTCCCGAGGCACCCTTTAAAATGATGGGCAGTCCCGAGGCACCCTTTAAAATGATGGACAGTCCGAGGCACCCTTTAGAGTTATGGGCAGTCTTGAGACACGATTTACCCTTTACAATTTATGGACAGTTCCGAGGCACCCTTTAAAATGATGGACAGTCCCGAGGCTCCCTTTAAAATTATGCAAAGTCTGGAGGCTCCCCATTCTAAAATGGCGTTCCTCAAGACTGTCCATAGTGTTAAATGGGCACCCCCTACAAAAATGTGAAAAACTTTTCTAATGGTTTTATATAATGCAGCAACATCCACACACATAGGACACCCAACATTAGAGGTGATTTATTCTTCCAAAGCAAATACACTTTTGCACACTGGTACTGACTAGTATTCCAGTGTTTCTCCTCTCCTTCAGTTTTTCTCCATCACTGAGCTAATGTGACCCCAACACTGATGGAGAGGGGGCAGGGGAGGGTCAAACAAGGATGCTGTGCAGACAGCCGATATCCTCCTTATCAACTGATGATGTCATTGGATGTCAGGATGCCGGCAGCTAGGTCGTAATGGTGCACAATGAAAACCTGTGGCTTTGTGTAACTTAAAGGCCGGCTTGTTCCACCCGCTGGCTTGTATACAAGTTCTGGGCAAATTTTTAGACATTTTGCCAAGGCACTCCTGAAGAAACCTCAAGGCACTCCAGGGTGCCTGGGCACCCTGGTTGAGAAAGGACCTACAGGCAGGCAGGAACAAGGCCACTTAAAGGATACGCACTATAAGGGGCCCTTTAAAAGGAATTAAATTACATTTTGGGAATAAATTCTATTGGTTTCTATAAAATCCATATATAAAGCTATACTCCAGGTAGGATCTTAATTGCATTCAAGTTAGACGAAGTATGCATATCTCATACCCAAGGAACTGCTAATGAAGCTGACGGTCACTGTAGTAGTCACTGGCTACAACAGTGATCTTCCAGGTCCTGTATTGAGTGGCTGCCCCACTGCATACTGACAACAGAGTGTTGCTGCCGCCATTTATAGAATGCCTTTTTTTCTGATTAAATGATGTGGGGAGGAGGGTCAGTGATGTAACAATCTTCATCTTGTCCAATCAAAGAGCACCTACATCTATTAAAAAAAAAAAAAATACAAGACCTACTGTGAATGGTGGTGGTGTTGAGTGAACAAGCAACCCATAAGATTACAGTGATCACTGTAACTCCAACTACTATACAGGTTGTCGTCTTCCACATTGGTCCCTCAGGTATGAGGTTATACATACTTTGGTCCAAGGTAGACCAATGAAAG